TAGTACATATAACTAGACTAATATTTTTTAATTAAAATTACTTCACTACTATAATCTTAACTTAGTATAGTGGCTTGTAATTATATAATATTATAATCTATATTTTTTTATTTTTTTAATAATATTTAGTGGGGTCATGGCCCTGAGATATTCAATAATATAATAACTAATAAATTTAATAATAATCTTTCTATCTTTATCTAATTTATATATGGGGATTTCCGGGGTGTCTATCCCTACTATATATTATATAATAAAGATTAATATTATTATACTAGATAGTAGTCTAATCTCTTTATGGATTATATCTATATAAGTTCCTCTACTAGAAATAAATCTAAATATGTTTTTAAGATTAGTTTAGATTCTGATTATAATAATATCATATTATAGCTAAGTAAACTTTCTTTAAAAGTAATTATTTAACTCTTTTAATTCGCGCCTCAAGTTACTATCTAGATTAATTATAATAAGTATTTCTATAATTTTTAAAACTGCCTTTACAAACCGTATCACTAGCTTAGATTTTCTCAATCTTTTTAGATATATTTAATAATTACTTTCACATCATACTGCTGGTTAACTACGCGTTATATTAAATTAATAGTATTATTAAAGATTATAGAGTTTTCTGTATCAGCTGCTAAGACTAACTATAAAAATAATCTAAACACTATTTTAATACCACGAGGAGGTAAGACCTCTTAAAATTAGTATTAAAATATCGCTAGAGGTGTTAAATATAACTATACGAGAGGTGAGGCCTGCAGGCCCTGTAATGGTTGCATAGATTTCAAAAATTTGATTCGCGCGTGGGGAATTGTTTTCACTGCCTTCTTTGTGACGCCTGTCTGGTCCTCGTGTCGCGCCTCTGCATCTATATTTCTGGTGTCGGCAATACATACTGTATCCCGCTGCAGCACATTGTCGGTTTTCTCTAAGACAAGCAAAAGCAGTACTACGATACTGTACTGTACCTAGGGTCCTGTACAAGCCATTCTCTACTCACGAACTTCATACTTAGAGTGCGATGGTACGTTTGGATTAGCGGGCAGGTACTATAAGACTTCCTGAAACTCGGAATGTACGTAGCTGAGCTATAGTATCTTTTACTAGGTGCTGGAATAGTGTGCTATGTTTGAGCCGTACTCAAGAGATGAAGGCCTTGGAAAGCCTTTCCTGGTATACCGTATCCTGAGACTGGGGTTTGACTTTCTCATGTGGAAGACGACCTACAGAGGAGCCAGAAAGTGGATACCATATTAATCATACAATGGGTTGTTTTCGAACCCTAAATGCCAATATATGCTACTCCAATACTATGTTAGCACATGGAGGAATGTAAATGAATTCTATGTTGTTATGGCGAGGCTGGGTATGCCCCAGGACACAGGACCAACGAAAAGCCATTCATCACGTGGCCACTAGCTATTTGATGGACGGGTAAACCTGCAGAAATATCTTCGTTTGCCATTACCCCACACGGCTCGTATACGTCCACGATTTGGATATACCAACTCTGTCGGTTCCAATATGAATTCAGCGACAGTTTATCCTGGAGGGGGGTTTTTTGGGTATTTTGATACGATGAACGCATTGATGCTCCGTCAGCAGATTCTAGGTACTTAATGCTGGGCCCGGGTTTGGTGGACCAGAAGTTAACAGAGAGTCAATCAAAGCGAATGCGAGAGTAGTATTTCCGGACATCTCTGAAATCGAACTCATAACTGGGAGGGAAACAGTCAAAAAGGAGGGTGATTACGGTCTGTTATCCATCACTTACCCCTCTAATGATGCTAACCTCTTCCAGCGAAAACTCACTACTATGCGTATATAACTTGTCCAAAAGAATCCAGCGGTTCCTTTGATGTCCTCGCTAGGAGCGAATCCGAAGAACGGAAAGGTGCACTGTTTGACTTACTGGAGCTTCTGGAGAGGAAGACATTCGCCATCATGGAGAACGTCTGTGCCGCAAAGGAATCCTGAGAAATGCACAATTGGGCCATACGTTACTCACCATGGAGACCCACCAGGGATATGGGTTAGGCGCTAGAGCCAACAGTTTATAAGCACGGTTCTTGGACTTACATGATCTTTCAGGTTCCTTTGTTAGTATGTAGTTAGTAAGATCCATCCTGAGATTGTCGAGTGAGCTGAAAGCGTTTCACGGTGGGGCGCTGAGGTAGCAGTTGTCCGGTACGGTTGACGAAGGTATTGTGGAACCTATGTGGAATATCGATCCTTGCCTACCAACTTGGCTTTATACGACCTGGAGTTACTAAACTCTCCGTAATATAATGGCCGCAAGGTATAGAAAAGGGAAGAAAGGCATCTCGCTTAGCTAGCTTCCATCCTTTGAGTGTTCCTAGAATGCTGATTCTGGGCTTTTGGATCTAAGATACCGTAATCTTACAGACGTATTATTACCGGACAGAACCTACCGGTTATGTGCCAGCGAGTCTTGACAGGCTAGCGTACCACCTGGTTAAGGTTCGAACACAACTCGTCTGACATATAATCTAGTACTGGAACGGTTCAAAACTATGCAATGCGGGGCCGTAGTACGGATGCGTACTACACTGGCAGTTGGTAATAGAAAATCCTTCGTGCAGTTCAGTATGGATTGCCACCGCCCAGCCGCAAATTGTCCGTCGACTTCTTTGGTTGTTACAAAGGATTTAAGATCATAGTGGAAATGTATCTGCGCCAGACAGCAGGATTTTGATAGGACAACGCAGGAAGCCCTCTCAAGCTATGTGTTGTGCAGCTGCTGCGCGGCGCGCGATCTCCCATGGTCCAAGGTGCCACACCAGGGCTTCGATATCGCGCTCGGGAAGACGTGTTTTCTCGCTTACGTGAGCCCAAAGCTCCGACTTGTATCTGTACAAGGCACGAGGATCAGCTCGCCAAGTCAACCGTATCTGGGGAATGACGGGTCACGCACTGCTGATACCAGTACGCTATGCTGTTCTTCCAGCTCTCGTTCCACTCAGGCCGGTGTCGGAGGAAGGCGTACCGGCATTCGCATGCCTTGGGAGTGCGGCCAGGTAAATGCTGACTAATCTGTTCCCACCTCTCTCCATGATCGTGCATGGCAATGACAGCGGCATCCTCATCCAGGGCCCAAGCTGTTGGTGGCCCCTGGCCGGGAGGTTTTGGGAATGCCCGAGCCAAGCTATTCAGCTTTGCCCGTCCACCGGCTCGCCTGATGGATGGATCTCCTGCAGAGTCCGCCTCATTGTTGTTTTTGTCAGTCGGGGCAGCTTCAGGATCGACGCTGTTCGAGTCCACGCTGTCCACTGCACTAGGCGGGGTCGCTTGGGCGGGGTCGCTCAACAGGCACGACACTCCTGGGGGGGTGGTAGCAGCAGTGATCGAAGGCCCTGTTGCCACATTCGATCTTGTGGGGTAGCGGCTGCCTGTGCTTTTCGGGAGCATTGATGTCTATCGATATATTTTGGATTAATCCTAATTGAACTCTTTGGCTTCCAGTTTTATAGTGGCGAAGATGATGAAACCCTTGTGAACAGGCTGGGAGGGCGGCATTATATAATGGTGATTAATCGTGTTACTGTGAAACCTAGCGCTGTTCTCGCAATTCCCCTGTCCGGGACATTGTAGGATTTGAATCGCAGTGATTTCACATGGAGCATCTGCTCACGTATTCTACCCATGATGAACTAGGTGAACTTTGATACATTGCCAGCTTGGAGAGTTTGGAAATTGTCCTTGGATTACTACTAAGAGTAGAACAGAGAAGGCGCTTCTTGACTCGATCTACTCCACCATTATGGACGGATCGCGACGAATGCCTACTATGACTGTACTGCCAGTCTCAACTTGGAAACCTGCTTATGGACAGATCAGTATGTACTGTAAGCAGACCAGTGCTACAACCAAAATTAACTGGAATAAAAACTGTATAGCATGTCCATGTCGGCCACTGACTCTGCCATATGAGTAAAGGACCAGGGTGGTACCAAGCTGACTCATGGGAGACGGCGGTGGGACGGTCCAAGAGGGCATCCACAGGTCTAATCCAAAATGATAAGATAACCAGGCGCAAACTAACCATACCCAGCCGCATAGTAAACTATAACCTCTGACCGGCCAAGATCAATATCGCATTCCAATGGCGAGTCTGAATTGGGCTCATGTCATTCTAATCATTTCGGGACCTATCACGAGCGATACGCTATATACCCTCGGGAATCCACAATAGCCGAGAAAAGTGACCCACCACCTTCCATGCAGACCGTTGTTATGTATTATGTAATCAGAGTACTTGGCACGAGGAAAAGGACAAAGTTCGGACCGGGGACTGTTACAGCAAACCCCACGGTCCCACCGTTCGCATAATGGGCTGGCAGGCTAGAACAAAGCCATGACACATATACCAATGCCTTCTGGGTACAAGTCCAAGTTAGGACGTTAGGCATCATATAGAACCTGAAACAGATGTGAAACAGGGAGGTGGAATCTGTGCTGGTTCAGATGACTTAATTCTTCCATTGTCCTGCAGATATTCGCCTGCGAGCATACTATGCAGTGACTTACTCGGCAATACTAAGAAGGCGACATGCTCAACAGCAATAGCTGCCTTGTTATGGAGTGCCTGCCTTCAGCCATTTACAAGAACGGTGGACCTGTAACTGATTTGTGAGATTCCAGTATTACTGTAAGAACTACCAAGTAGAACGCCCCATGGCTAGATCTTCCAGTCAATGAGCCCTGAAAAGCCACAGCCGTCATTTCTCACAACGCATTTTCAGAGGTCGATAGCCAATGAGGGCACCACTCAGTCCGTAGATGTAGCGACTGATATGAATTGGTGTACGGATTCGGTTTTGTTTCCCTCAATGGGACTAGGAATACTTTCGTGATCTGGAATTCTCAAGGATATATGAGCCCATACATACCTGCTGCACCCTTCCTACCCTCTGGAACGCTGGCTCATCTCTCGCTTTGCTGGCATCAATAATTCGAAACCCCAATTTAAAATGCTTCACACGAGCCACCTAGCCCTGCCGTTTGTGTTCGTTCTCTACATTCCCTTTGTTTGGGCATGGATCCAGGTAAGCGAACGTCTAGGCGGTAACTATCAAAGACGTCGCTAAGCACAAAACAGAGCTTGCAGATTATGGACGCTGTTCACGGCCTACCGGAGGGCCAGCCAGGATATGTGCGCAATTTCAGTATGTTTCCGGATGATACTGCAGCCATTGTACAGTAGACACTGAGGCAACTAGCTCCGGGCACAAGCGGGACCAACCCCATCCTCGACGATAGTCCACAGGCCCTGGTTTGCGGAGACAATCAACGCGTGCCGCTCCAGCAGCGCCAATGGCCTCGGCTTGAGGCACTGCCGGGCTCGTTGATATGTCCGCGCTATGCGCCAGGCACATGGCACAATGGTTCCGCTATGGGGGAGATTCACTGGTACGGCGCAAACATCCGCGACGTGCCTGATCAAACCACACTGGCCGAGCTTCGAAAATCCCCCCTGCAGGCGGGCGAGAAAAGCAGGGTGGGAGATCACGACAGCTCTGCTGTGGATGCTAAGACAGCAGAACTGGCAGAATATGCATTCCCGCCTGACGCCGGTTCGGAATGTCAGCACGCGTTTCAGGTCCCAGCACAGGCCACTGATCTTCTCACGGTGTATTGGATGTGGAATACGACCCAAAGACATCGTGACGGCTTTTTGGTATGACCTATAATGATTTAACCCTGCACCTGGATCTGCACTCATACGGACTCCTAAACACTCGTGATAGATATACATAGCCTGCTTCGATATCCGCATTATCCCTGAACACGAATCTGACCAGCTCCCAACATTGAAGTTTCATTCCACCAGCCATCCAAGTCCAGGCCAGACGAGTGCCACGCCACATACCGTACATAAGACGATCGAGAATCCCAGTCCGAGCATGAATCAGGGCGATCTGGAACCGTCTTCCTCGGCTGCTGACTGGACCGGCAGTGTCATTTCAGCAACTTGCTCTGCGAGCCTGGTAGGCAGACGGGCGGATTGACTGTGGTCTCGCATGTGCTAATGCTTCAGCAGGGGTTGTTCTGCTCGCCCGCTAGTCCGACTCTGCCTAGCGCCACCGCCACAGGGACAGGTCCCCGGTCAACAAGACCAGCGGATACACCTACGGTGTCCAGCGCCCTAGCAATGATAGCGTCAGCAACATGGCTTCCAAACCCAGTTGGCTCTGGCTCGTGGCTCCGTGTACATACCACATCGACGTCTCCTTGGCGTTCCCGGGGCCCACAGGATCTTACTGTTTCGGAGACACTGGCTACTGTAACAGAGGGCGATGCTCCCTCGACGGCCGCCCCTGATACGGAGGCAGTGGAAACCTCTTCGACATCCACGACGCTCCATACAACGTCCACGAGCTCCAGAGACGACATAGGTCCTGCGTCTGATACAGGCCCTTCTCAAGTCCGTGCCACTGCCACCAACAACGTTGGTTGGAGCAGTGATAGTAGCAGTGCCGGCCGAAATCTGGAAACCACAAAAGCCTCGCTAATTAAGCTTAGCAGAGACTATGCACAGCTTGCATGTCTTTATATCGCTGGATCGAGCCCACCATAACCAAGAATCGTCTACAATTTCCTGGTATGTTGGCCTGGAGTTGTTGCAGCGTCAAGGATGAGACTAATATGAATACAGTTCAGTATCTTCGGTAGATGGTATTGGCGGAGAAAATGGACGTTACGATGGTGCTCAAGAAGGAACCATCGTTTAAGCATAGAGCCTACGTCACCCTTGGGGAGGCTAATGCGCGCTTTCCAGCGAGCTGTACTGCTAGCTGAGAAATTCAGTTTGGCAAGGATGTCGCTGCACAGTAGCAGTGGCCTATCGATTCCCTAAGCAACACATGAGTGTAGTGATTGTTGCTTCGCACTATCCTACCTTCCATACAGTACCAGTCCCTGGTCCATGATTCCAGCTGGTTCATGTCTTTGCCAGCCGGCTTTAGCATTGGAACAGCACACGGCTTCTCAATTTCCTCACTGGCCGCTCCTACTCACCGCCTTTCCCCTTTACCTGCCTGTTCACCCGTCAGTACTACTTACGAACGAGTATCACTTCGTATTCTGGAATTATGGCTCACGCATGTAAGATCAGTATGCAGATTTCCTTGCAGGTTTTTTTTCTTCAGGCCCAGACTAATCGACCGATGCGTTGCGAATGAACCCAAGGCAGCTTCATTGCATGAACAGCGAAATCCGAGATGATCCGGTGCCTGTTTGCTCTGTTTGTTTGTCTCTTCTATATATCCGGCCAAGTCGCTTGTCTGTTCTCTCAGCTGATCTCCGCTTTCAATACTTTGATAGACCACTATATACAAGACACGTCCGAAAGCTCACAAATATTCTCAAGACTTATAAGCTTGTTGACCTCTCCTGTATCATATCCACATTAGTCATGGTCACATCGACACGAGAAAGGATTAACATAGACGATCTTCTCGACCCCGCCCATGCCAACGATGGAGAGAAGTTCTGCGACGATCGAAGGTCAGATGCTTGCAGTGAATGCTTTGCTACTTCTCACTGAGATAGAGTATAGACCTTCGCGTCGCTTTTCTGGCAAGGCCAAAAAAGATACAATCACACACAAGATTCAACCTGGGTCGAGAGGGGAGAGAATGCTGCCTCGCAAGATTTATGTTTGTCCCATGGTAGGATGCTCCAAAATCTTTCCAACTTATGCCAAGAAAATGAATCATTTTCGCCGGAGGCACCTTCCCAGTGCGACCGAGGACCGTCCTAAGGCACAGTTTTACAATCCACCAAGCCTCGAAAGTCACCAAGCAGCGACCAAAGGCTGCCAGAATAGCCACAGCTGGAATCGTGTTCGCGTGAGTTACCCAAGGCTACTGTCAGTACCACTACCGTCCAATCCTATTGACAACTATTCGTGGTCTGCAGAGGACAGTGGTCAGCATATATTGGAGCCTCATGATTCAAAGCGCCAACCGGAAAAAAAAGGGATAAGTGCAGCATATCCCAAGAGATTGAGGATATCTTGCCTTCTGGATCCCGCTTAGCTGTCAGCAGCGCTGGAAGGAGAAGCAATAAACAGTGATCACTGAATTTGGCTTCACTGGGGGTGGAATCAACGCCGCAGGCTCTTGGGAGCGAAGGAAGAAGAGCTGGACTCAAATAACTGTGTGATTACCGTTCATACAGTATGGATCTCACGCTCCAGCCATGCGGTCATTCAGCCATCACTTTTAGTGCTATGCTTGCTCAAATGTTTTGTCTGCTTTATGGCGCTCATCGGAAGGTGCACTACAATAGAGTACTTTGGCCTGCTCCAAGCGTTGCATGTGCTTGATGTGCCATGCGGGAAAGTTAGTGATCATACCTACTACCTTTTGCACATGAAAGGATTTACCTGCGCAGACTACGGTCACAACCATTGTCTGTTGTGTGCATTCCATGGGTTGGGAATGGCCCACAGCTACCTTATCCTGATCATAGGACTTTTCATTGGTGGGAAAAACACAATGGTTGAGTACTTCTTTTAGCTTATAATATATAATAGAAATTATATTTTAAAGACTGAGCTATAATCTGCAAGCCATGACACCAGTACCCCTGGTATGTTGGTTGACTTATCTATAAAAGTGGCCTGTAACATATAATATGGATATTAATAAATTATTTGAATCTTTTACAAATAATCTGGCAAAACTTTTGGTAAGCTTCTAGTGTCTATTCGATATCTATTCTAATTAAGAAATAATAGATAAAAGGTAGTTTATATAACCTGTCTAAGCAAATTATTTGCTACATATATAACTACTAGCTACTATCAAAGTAGTACTAGAGCCAAGGAGTAGAAAGGCTAGTATCTATTTCTATGAAATTATATATAAACGTACCAATGCTAAAATGGTTGTTTAATTATTAATAAATCTTTTGCTGCTAGCTCAAGAGATTCAATCATATAATACTTATAGTTTCTTTATCCAATGCCAGCTTTAGCTGTCTATAGGATACTAACAGTCTGGTTCTTGAAGGCTGGGGGTAAGGTTTTATAGTAGGATCTCTAGTTGTGATGACTGTGATTACTGTAACGAATATAAAGTTAAAAAAGATTATTTATAAACTCATTATTATTGAGGTAAAGTATCTTGTCTATCTATGAATGATAAGCTTATCTTGAAATCTTTAGTTGCTATTAGCTGCTTTCTATGGAATATTTATCTTTCTATATGAACCAGCATATAGCTAGTACTTATTAGCTAGTATTGTTAGTCTAAATATATCGGCTGCTTTATACAATCTTATTGCCTGGATAAAGACTTAATTATTCTTTAATATCTAGAGTAGTCAGTTCTATCTAGTAATCTTGCTACTAGTATAGATATATTAGATCCTAAAGGACTATGCAAACTTTACTTTCTTTAACTATAATAAAATATTTTTTATAATAACTAGATATTTTAAGTCCTTATTCTGGTAGGCCCGCTCTCAGCTACAATCCCCATGTTAGATTTACTTGTTCTACTATGCTAACTATGGAGATGAAAAGATCTCTAGTAGATTATTGTAACCTGCTTATTATTCTACAATATTAAGTATATATATTAATGTATTTTCTATGACTTAATTCGCACAAGTCCCTGCTTCGGCATCATGATATTCCTACTAGTTATCTCCCTACTTTTAACTATTATGGATAGTTTTAACGTCCTCGGTGCAGTCCACCTCGCTATTCTGACTGGTGTGGAACCTATCTGGAAGATGTACTCCGTTTATAATATCAACATAATAAAGCCTGTTCTGTTTACTAACACTCGCGGTGCAAGTTTACTCTTGTGTCCAAATACCTATATAACACAATCATTCTAGATGACTTCAAGTCTATCCTAGATCGAGTAAGCGCGGCTTTCTTCTCCAATCTTCTCCAGTCAGAGAGCACCCCCTTTCCCCCCCGAGGACCTAATGGACAGGCTCCAACTCGGCCCGACTGTATTCACGTCACGCACGAAATCCGCACACTAAGCGAGTCGTCATAATATCATGGTAATGGCTCCTGGCGGCGAACAACTCTGATGGCTCCTGCCATCTTGAAGTTAAAGGAAATCAAAAAGCAGGCATTACAGTCCGTCTCGAAATTCCTTTGACTTTCAAACACAGGACAATTGTTTCCCAGCCCCACTGCCAAGAGCTTGGCGCGAGTGGATTATTTGGGCAATATTCAATACATTACAATCTGTACTGGTCGGTAACTGTTAAGACGGCTTGGTTATTTATCACGTGATCCCTTATACACTTATAACCTCGGAGGAGAAATCAAGCATATGGGACAAAAAGCAGTCACATGACTTGTCAGATAGGTCACAAAATTCCATTCATCCGAGATGAGAGCATAAGTAATGAATCAGTTACTCAAATATCCAGATCTTTGTATAACATGGTTTTCAGCAAATCATGCTTCCTCAAATCGATATTATTTTCCTACTCTTCAGCTTCCTGACGTCTAAACTGTGACGGGCTAAGAAGCCAGGTGGACTACGTAAGGTATAATAGTCTATAAAGAAATTAAATTCGCTGGAGAAAGAACTATCTAATCTATAGATAGATTAGATCTTTTTATAGATAACTCTTTCTGAGAGATTTCTTTATAATATTAGTAAGCTTTTTTACTGTCCTAGAGATTCCCATTCTTTTTAAAGACTTCTATTCTTTCTATAGGTATTATCAGATTGAAGTCTAGAACTAGATAGATTAGAATATAGATATTCTGATTCCAGATAGCTAATAAGGTCTAGTCTTTTTTAATTATTACTCTTCTTACGGCGCGGCTGGCCCGTTGTAGATTTTAAAGGATTAAATAGATAAGATTACGCCAGTATTTATAGGTCTTAGTATTATAGAGTTTAATTACTAGTTTTTATATAGATATAGTATATTTCTTCTATTTAACTAGAAATATTTTTTTATATGTATATTTTTCTTGTAATATATTTTTCTTATTTAGGATTTTCTTAATAGTATATTTTTTAATATTATCTTCCGTGATAATAGCATCTGGTTACTAATTAGTTATCTTTTAAATAGGTAGAGGATCTATAGCAATAGATTAGAGTAAGTTAGTATAAAATACTAGATAAATTTTAAATAATATATTTAATTTATAGGCATGTGTTCTGATTTGTTTTAGTACCGTAAACTTTATATTTTATTAATCTAGCTTTTTACTAGGCCGGTTAGTTATAATATTTTTCAGATCTAGCTAGATCTTATTATTTTTTTTATAATAAGGGATAGGATTTTATTAATAGTTAGTATATTACTTCTATGCCTCTTGTACTACCGCTATTATTAAATTAATAATATTTTAAATTTTTTAAAGTTTACTAAGAATAGTTTTAACTTACTTTTAGGGGTTTTTAGCTTGATAGTATCCTGGGATATCTATTTCAATATTTAAATCTAAAAGCTTTATATAGAAGCTATATTATAAGAAAAAAGGACTTATTCCTATTAATATAAAGTCTTAATTATTTAGGACTAGCTGTATTATGGATAGCAATTCTTATTAATTAATTTATTATTAATTAATAAAATATTGTAAGAAAGTTTTAATAATTATAATCTATTATTTTATTATTCTGTCTATTTCAGGATAATAGATAATAGAAAGATATTATTTAATATCTAAAATTTTATATAAAGTTATTTATAGTTCACTTATAAACTAAGAGTTATAGTCTGAAACTACTAACTAAAGTATTTTATAATAGTTATAAAATACTTAGATAAATATATTTATAAAGTTTTTTATATCTATGTTTAAAATAGCCTCAATAATAATATTTTTAATTAACTAGTTAATGATAATTATAATATTCCTATAGTCTTGAGACTCTGGAAAATCTACCAGAAAATTAATAGTAATATTTTATTTGAATTAATTAAAAATTAATAGTGGTTTTAAAAGATTTTGTTTATAGTTTTTTTAAATATAGTTAGTCTTATAGCTATTATAGTTATATTAAAATTAGTGGATATCCTTACTTATATTTAACTAATAGTGGTAGCGGGCGATTATTTTATAAGTTTAATTTTATTTAAAGTATCCAGTGATCACGCTGTCATGGATTTTTTAAATAATTTAAATTTATAAAAGTTCTGAGTTAAAGATTTAGACTTATTTTTAAAAAAGTAGGTGTTGGTTCACATCTAATTAATACTCTATAATAGAAATCTTTAGTTTTAGTTATTTAAAAAATTTAGATCTACTCTCAGCTATTATTTTCTAGTACTTTTTTAAGTCTTTATTAGTTTATTTAATTTATTTTTATAAGTTATCTAGTATTAGCTCTACAAGCTCTAGGCCAGTAAAAACCTCTATATTAGAGATTTCTTTAATAAATATTATGTAGCCAGGCCTCTCCTTAAATATAGAATAAAATAATTAGATTTTTTAATTTATAATATATTTATTTCTTTTCTCGGGCATGTCCTGGGACCTTTAAAATAAAATATTAGATTAAATATTTATTATTCTTAGATAGTAATTAATTATAAAATTAAAATAATTTAAAAATTAGATTTAATATATCTATTATTCCGTGAATCATCATTAAATTATAAAGTATTCTAGATTCTAATGGTCGCTGAGAATCTTAAAATAGGAAAATAAAATAAGTTCTAGCTTTTATTTTTATAGGGCTCGGACAATTACTAGTAATTTCTTATTATAGATTTAATAATTATATTCTATAAATAGGTTTTTCTTCAAGAAATACACCATGGGGTAAAAGATTTTCTAATTATTTTACTAAAATAGTATTCTTTTTATATATTATCTAAAGGAGTTAACTTCTACTAGAGTTTTTTATTTAGGGTCCCAGTGTACTAGGATAGAGACTATAATAAAAATCTTTTTAAAAGTTTTAAATATTTTTTAAATCTCCAGTATCCAACTAAACTTAGTATTCTTTTTTATAAGCTATATTAAGGACTCTAAATAGGTCTCTTAATCTTTAAAAAATTGCTGATAGAAATTAGTAAATCCTAGAAAGACTTTAATATTATAAATAGTCTTCGGGGTCTTCTAGTCCTATATAATCTAAATTTTAGTAGGATTTATATAGATCTTCTTTCTTACTTTAATAATGAATCCTAGGTACTTAATAATAGTTATCTTAAATTTATATTTATTAATATTTATTTAAAGGCCCGCGTCCTATAAATATCCTAGTACTTACTGTATTTAGGCGTGGTATTTAACTAGACTTCTATTTATAAAAATAAAAATATTATTAATATAAATAAAATAGAATTCGTCAAGGAATTCCCGTAAGATCTAGTTAATATATTATTAAAAGATACTCAGATAATTAGTAAACTTAAATAAAATTATTAATTATTTAAATAATTTAAAATAAGTATGAAATGCAGTTTTCCATTTATCTTCTTTTTTAATTCGGATGCGGTGAAAGGCTTGGATAATATCTAATTTAATATAGTATTAAATTTTTAAAATATATTAGAAGGTTTCTTAAATAAGTAATAAGAAATACTAGTTTTTTATTATTATCCAGTTTAGTACTTAGTAGTCTATATAGAAGTGTAAATTATTATTAGGTTTTAAAATAAATAATACAGAAATAGCTATTAGAAAATTACTAATCTATATAAATCTTTTTCTTAGAAAATTAATTAGAGTTTTTTATAATATTAAGAGCTTTAATTAATTTATCTAATAAAAAAAATCTTAAAAGATTTTTTTTCCTTTTCTCTGGTATCCTTAATTATTTTTATAATATAATTTATTTCCAGGTAATAGAGTAATAAAATATCCACTATTATTTTATTAAAGATATCTAAATATCTATAGTAAAATTTTAGTAACTTACTTTTTACTTCTACGGGATTTTTTAGTTAGTTAAACTTATAAAAAGTTTTATTAATATTTATTAGACTTATTATAAATAACTCTACCAGATCTTTTTTTTTTTCTAATCTTTTTAAATATACCATGTGTTAGCAGAAATTATATATAATATTAAAAAGTAGTTTTATTTTTATTTATATTATACTTCCACTTCTATACTTTAAATATAAAATGTAGAGTCCTTGACTTAAAGTATTATATTCTAGTACTTTATCTATGGGAGTTCTAGTATAATATTATATTTATATATACATGGCAGGATGTAAAGATATATATACTTTTATAAATTTTTATTTATATTTAATAATATTTTTACTAATTTAATCATATAAGTCTTTTTTCTTTTAAATTTCTTAATATTTCAAGGTTCGATAGGGACGCGCTCCAGTTTATTTTTATTTATAAAATTCTAGCTAATTATTTTATACAATGTGTAACTAATATTAATTAAAATATTTATAAAATAAATTCTATTAACTAATCCTAATATGGAGAAGGTATAATAGCTTTTAAATTTTTAAACTTCTTTTTTAAACTCTTTATAATTTTGGTTAACTGGTGTGTGCCCCTCTAAGTAATAATCTAGAAAAGCTATACTTTTTCTAAGACTAGGGGCTACTAGATAGCTAGATTCTTCGGGATTTAGCTAGTTTTACTAACTAAATTATTTTTAAGTAAAGCTTAGTAGACTTTATTCTTTAGAATATTCTTCAAATCCTAGGGACACTGTAGTAGTAAGTATAAATATTTAATAATTTAATATTTTAAAAACTTACAGCATATATAGAATCTTATTTTATAGTATTTAATTAGTATTTCTTTTAATACCTATTAGATTTATTAAGCAGGTCTTGCGCTTGTTATTATAGATTCTTAATCTATAATATTATCTATAGTTACTTTCTTAGAAGTATTACTTACTTAAATATTAGAGTATTCTAGTTATTTTTCTGAAAGTTAGTTTATCTCTGTAAGCTTATCAGTTACTTATTTAACTTATTAATAGAAGTCTTTAAAATCTGGTTTCCGTTTAATATTAATTATTTATTAATAAATATTATTATTCAGGGCTTGGTACAAGAGGTTTTTTTTATTTAAATTTTTTTAACTATATCTTCTAACTTTAATTAGTAGGCTGTTAACTTCTACCAGGAGATTATTAATTATTTAATTTTCTTACTTAAGAGTGGATAGCTTACTAATAATTTTCTTCTATTAAGCTAGGTCCTTGTAAATTAACTTAAGATAATTAATTAAAATTATAACTAAGAAGATTAAGATTTTATAGTTAATTTTTATCCATAGGTTGATCTTTGCTTTAGCTTTCCTATTTAAAAATATAAATATATACCAGGCCTGTTTGGCCGGTGTATTAATAAATTATTAATTAATTTTAATCTTTATTTATATATCATTAAACTAGCTTGGGAATTTATTCTTGTTTTTTCTATTAAAACTTATAGGGATTGGTAGCTTTAGTTTCTTTATATTAACTAAATCCTAGATTAGTACTAGTACTGATACTAATATAAATAGAAGTACTATAGTAGACGCCTGAGAAAATAAGAGTTAGATATTAATAATCTATTTAACCTATCTAAAACTAACCCTAATCTTATTATTTATTATTATATTCTATTAGGTGATAACATGTTGTATTTCTATATTTTAAATTATTAATTTTTCAATATATTTAACTAATTAGTTAATAATGTTAGTTTAGGTAGTACTTCTATAATAATTAGAGATATTTATTAATTTATTATAGTTATTACATATTATTAATCTATTATTTAATAAATACTTTGAAAAAGGAGCAAATTCAAAACTGTAATAGACTAAGAAACTAGATAGACTATATAAAATATAATAGTCTATAAAGAAATTAAATTTACTAGAGAAAAAACTATCTAATCTATAAATAAATTAGATCTTTTTATAGATAACTTTTTTTAAAAGATTTTTTTACAATATTAGTGAGCTCCTTTACTACCCTAGAGATTCTTATTCTTTCTAGAGACTCCCATTCTTTCTACGGATGTTATCAGATTGAGGTCTAGGACCAGATGGGTTGGAATATAGATGTTCCGATTCCGGATGGCTGACAGGGCCTAGCCCTTTTCATAAACTCACGACACACAACCTCGACTGGCCCGACCTCCTAATTGCTATCTTCACCACCAGAGGGACCCTGAGTTGTACCAGTTTCAAGTAGGCGGCCGGTTCCAGAACTGATTATAGCATTGGACTGGCGTTCAAGCAGGTGATCCAGTATTTTGTCAAATGGAATTCCGTCCGTAGAGAGCGTCTCGATATAGCCAATCTCCGCATACCGCCAGATAACCACCCAGCTACGAATGATCAGAGAAGGAGCTAAAGTTGTGAGCGTGGTCATCACTTACACCCACTCCACGCAGTGGCAGAATTCCTGTCGCTGCATAAGATGATCTGGAAGCCACATGTACTCTTTCAGACCATAAATTGGTGGATAACCGTCCCTGATGCGGTACTCGATGGCATCCAGGATATCTGCGAGCTGATTTCGAGTATAATGGAGTGTGTTTCCGGAGAGGTTTGCATTGATGCATTCGTCAAGCCCGCTGAAGGTGACGCGACTCCATTATACATGAGCATGCATCACACTTCTGTGTTACTCCGCAACAGGTATCACAAACATGTGCTCGACTTCTATGAATAGTATTGTGGGATTGGCAAATGATGCACTAACACTTCGCCTGCTAAACTTGTAATTGTTGGTAGCCGACCCGAATAATTGAGTCCTATGTACCTTGTCAATTGATTCGCCTATTAATGCTTAACTGGCAGTAACCCTCTCCTTGGCTGGCCTTCGGAGCATTTCCACCCAGCACCTACATCTATCTTTATGAGATTTGTTCATTTTGCTTGTGAAAGAATATTCTCCTCCGTCGCGCTAGTTGAAAAAAGTTTGATAAACTCCTCTTTGTGCTCGGTGGCCCACTCTCGGAAGGTTAAAGCGGGTCTTCCAAGCACGTAAGGAATGTCGTCACGAACGGTCCCAATGTAACCCATCCGACCATTGGAGACTTGCCTCATGAAATCAGTGCCGCCTTCAGCATACCAAGGCTCTGCTGATGAACCCGGAGCTGAGACCAACGCCTTGAAGTCGTCCGGTCCTCGAGGACTGAAAGTAATGCTGCGACCAGTGACCTCGCCCAAGATCGCCGCAACTTCTGAGCCGTCCAGCACATCGGTGCTCATCCAGTAGTCACGTCCATTATGCTTCTCAGGCCCTTCACGTAGAACCGCCGCCGCCATCGCTGCAATGTCGCTCACCGCGATCCAACCCACACGACGAGTCCCCCAGTAGAGTGACAACTGGTCTCCTTTGGGGGCAGTGGCGCCAAGCAGATTGTCCATGAACACGTTGGGATGAAGGTGCGTCCAAGCGAGACCGCTGGCCTTGATGTAGGTTTCGATGAGCTGGTGCCAAACAAAGTGCGGGTCGGTGCAGTCCCATTCGCCAAAAATACCCAGATGAACGATGTAGTTCACACCTGCCTTCGTAGCGGAGTCCACAAACGTCTTGCTTTGCGTAAGCATCGCCACTGTGTAGCCAGTCAACAGGAAGACGCGATCCACACCAGCCAGAGCGAGGGCGAAAGTGCTCGAATCATCCAAATCAAGATGGACCGCCTCTTTCCCCTCTCCGCGCAACCGTTCTACTTGCTCCGGGCGCCGGGAACTCAGGCGAAGGTGAACGTCTGAGGATTGTTCGAGTTGTTTGACTATCAGTTTGCCGATCTGGCCTGTCGAGCCAAGGACCAGGACTGTCGGTTTCTTCGAGGGGACACTCATTGTGTGGACAGGATGGTCGCTTGGATCAAATGAGTTTTGAGAGACGGCTCAGAATTCGGGGATCAGGAACAGCGCGTTGGTACATCCTGAGTACGTCGCTCCTTCTTTATGTAGTACCACGGAAATAAGGCACGGGTTGCAGACGAGTATCCTGTGCTTACCCCGCCCCATGAATTACTAATAATGGCCGCGTTTGGCAGCTCTTCCATCGCGCACCAGCGCCCGGCTGCTGCCGCTGGGTTCAGTCGAATAACGGCCTCCACAAGCGCCGTCCCGCTTATGCGATTTGCTTAGCAATCGGATGCAATGGGAATTGCCCTAAGATGGGGCACCCAGACCTTGACCACCCCTAGACCCATAAAGGAGCTTGAGCATCAGATTGATAGTATACGCCCTAGAAAACGTGCCAAGGTCAAAGAGAGTCCCAATAGCCGGTTCGCACGGATTGAACAGATCATGGAGACCAAAAAGCGCCTTGCGCAGCAGCTTGAGCCAACCAGACTATCACAGCTGACTGTATCAATTGAATCTGATGCCCTATGTCACGAATGGCAACTTGACTAGCTAGAAAGCTGTGTTAAATTTGACGCCTTCATCGGGCTTGCGTCGGGGTCTAGGGGTGGTGGGGGTCTAGGGGTCTGGGTGCCCCATCTTACTTAGTGCCTTTTCGCGGCGGCTGACAAATGCCAACGTCACTCCACCAGAGATCAGTTCTACAGTAAATTCGTCCAGCTCAATCCCCGGGCTTTCGAAAATATCTTGTAAACTTTCAGAACCTCACCAAACTCATCTCGTACTGACCTCAAAACATCACGACAATGAAACAAGTCGTCAACTTCGCCGGCTCGGAAGTCAAAACCAAAATTGTAGACGCACCCATCCCCGAGCCTAGCGCCAAGCAAGTCCTCATCAAAGTCGTCGTCTCCGGCTCCAACCCTAAGGACTGGAAAGCGCCTGAATATGGAGCTGCATACGATGGTCCTGACGATGGTTCATTCATGGCGAGGTCAAGAGCTGGTGTGAACCAAGGTGATGACATTGCGGGGATAGTGGAGAAAGTCGGCGCGGATGTGATTGAATTCAAGGTACGTGGTCTGCAATTTTGGGTTGAAGCGTAGGGATGTTAATGTGAGAACAGAAAGGAGACCGTGTCGCAGCTTTCCATGAGATGGGATATCCTGGAGGTTCGTACGCAGAGTATGCACTTGCGTGGGACTGGACTACTTTTCACATTCCCCCCGGGAAATCTTTTGAAGGTATGCCGTTCTCTATATTGGCTGGACGACAGTTGTTGACCTGATTTTCGCAGAAGCTGCAACAATACCTCTTGCGGCCCTCACCGCTGCTGTAGCATTGTTTCGCAATCTCAAACTCCCTACACCCTGGAATCCCGCGACTGCATCTACACCTTTTGTGGTGTACGGTGCGAGTACGGCTGTCGGCTCATATGCTGTCAAGCTTGCACGCAATAGCAATATCCATCCAATTATTGCAATTGCAGGAAAGGGTACTCACTACGTCAAGACGCTTCTTGATAGCACCAAAGGCGATGCAGTCTTTGACTACCGCGATGGTGCTGACGAAACAATAAGCCAGATTCGCACACACCTGGAGGCCGGAAACTACGGTGAAGTGCGGCACGGACTTGACCCGGGCATTGGACGTGCGAGTCAAAAGGTGTTGACGGAGATCGTCACGCCTGATGGAGCGATCAACCTTGTCATGCCAAGTGATACGGAGGTTGGGTCTGCGACCAAGACTACGACTTCGGTAGGCGTCGTACATAATACGGACAATGGGGGTCATGGGGCGGACGCTTGCGATCTGGGTTTGGTAACGTGTCGCTGGTTCACGAAGGCGTGGCAGGCAGGGACATTCGAAGGGCATCCGTTTGAAGTAAAGCCCGGAGGCCTGGAAGGCGTGGATCAAGCGTTGAAAGACTTGAAGGACGGGAAGCAGAGTGCTGTAAAATATGTTTTCCGTATTGCGGATACGCCTGGACTTTAGGATGAGGTAGCTTGCGTAAACGACTTCGAACTTTCCATCCTTAACTCCAGGCATATGTACGCAACCTCTACCAAGATGCTCGCTCGATGCTTCTTCTAAACGCACCGAGGCGGCTTGTCCCTTTTAAGTATTAAAATCAGAGTATAGCCCAATTTGGTAGTTGGGCTAAGGCGGCCCTGCTTGCCGAGCACTTACAACGCTAGTAGATTCACCTTTCGTTACAGTACAACGTCTATTGATTTAACTTCGATTACGTCTCGACCGCTCTCAGTAAGCCGAACAACGTGTGTCAGTATATGCGAGCCACTGGCGCACAAAAGGCCCTATCCTCTGTAGGGTCGTCGGTACTCCATGAGGCTAAAATGCCTGGAGCAGCGAATAGGTGACTGATGAACCTCAAATTGTCGTTATCTCAGGCGAAGCTGAGCGGCTATGACCGTGGCTGTGAATCTCCGCCCCTGGATGCATGAGCTGATTCGTGTTACGACCCGAGCACGATTGGCCTCGCAAGATGGCCGAAGTCACGTGACTAGGGATCAGCAGTGAGCCATGCGAGTGGCTCACTGGGCTCAGTTCAGCTCACTAGGTGAGCCGTGGTGAGCGACCAAGATCCCGTCTGTAGCTCCTAGTATATAGACCCCCTCAAACTCCCCTAGGCTAGACACTACTTCCAAGCTCCCCAGCTATCAATACAATTGCCAATGCTTCCCTTAGCACCAGTTCCCTAAGCCTAGCACATCGGCTGTGACCGACAACCTATTGCTCAGATTGACACCCTGATCACACTCGATCATAAAACCACGACCCGAATCTGCCTACCCTGTAGCCAGGTCCAATCGTCACCATTCGCTCAAACGCCACAGCCGGGGGCTACGGTGGGCCATTAGGCAGGTGACTGCCAAACCCCGCCAACCCCGCACACGCAACATCGTCAACGCCTTCAACTTAAGCCTCATAGGAACGGCCTATCTTTGCAATGCCGCCACGCATCAACCTTAAGGATTCTCGTGATGAAATTTTTAGCCGTCGAATGGGCTGCGAGCCGCTCGACCAGATATTACTTTTTTTTAAACGAATCTGTGACAGCAATATTGATGATATTGAGTGCGTGTGTTGCCTAGCTAACTACGTGAGGAGGAGGTAACTAGGTAGCTAGGTCTGAGATTACGTGATCTTCTTTTATACTTCCTATGAGCGAGGACGTAGTCAGTAACGTTATATATAAAAAAAAA